GACCTGAGCCAAAGTCAGATGTTTAACCGACTGAGCCAGCCAGGCGCCCTAAACGTTTTTTTAAAAAGAATAAAAATGTCGATTTCTCAGACTGTGTCACTGTGAGTGCATAATAAGACGCAAAAATGCTTCCTTTCTCCCAATTCAGAGACATATTTACATACCTCTAACTCCTACCACCAACAGGAACCTGACACAAAAAACCTGCTGCTAAAAGTCTCTTCACCTTTTCCCGCATTGGGGTGCAGGTGAACCTCTGTGGGGAAAGAACAGCCATGCCAAGGGGAAAATGTCTCACCCCAGCACAAACTGATGTTTAACTGCGAAAGTTACACAGGTTAGTTTTCTACGGGGAATTCCTGAAGCACCCAACATATTAACACGGTGATCTGCCACGAGATCAACTTATTAGGTCAAGACCAGCGTGTGTGTGTGATGGAAGAGAAGTAAAATAAAAGTAGCAACGTAGTAAGGAGCATGCAAAAAGAGTATGAATATCTATTTATAAGTACACGAGGTCACAAAATAAGGTATATTTCTTACTACAGGTCACGGTCAAACACTTCTGGAGCCACTGTGCTACTCCGTATGGAGAATCTCCCAGGGACACCTTTAGCTGGGCGCGCTCCCCAGCTCACCGGGCAAAGCACCTGCCACAGAGCTGGGAGATACTTCCAAAGCCGGTCTCATGGATACTGGAGTCTCGCGGACAATGCTGCCTGATTCTGAAATGTTCTTGCTGCTAATCACACTCAGGCAGACTAGAAATGCACCTTCTGAAACATCCAGCAGTTTGGAATGTCCTGGAGACCTAGAACACGCTGAGATCCAGGACTTCCAGCCTCTCCCACAAAAGACGGATGCTTTTCTTTCATGATGCGGCTGCAACACTTCCTGTCTCGACTCTTGTCCACCGCCCCTCAGCCCCCTAACTTAACCTGCTGAGGGCAAAACGAGGCAAAAAAAGGAACGGGTTCCTTCCACTCGGTTCATCTAGAAATTGAACATTACCTTGAAAAGAGGCCAGAGAAAAGCGCTTTGATATTCAGCTGTGGGTTGGGCATGATCCCAGCGTTCAGATAGACATAGTCTAATCTCTGAAACCTGCAAGGAAAACACCACGATAAGACGGTTCATTATCCCGAGAGCAACTGGAATAAAGAAAGCCTACGAGGGACAGAAAACACTTTCTGAACCAAAAAAAGCGGCCACAGCCAGTTGAAGGGAAGGTACAACACATCACACATTACACCCACTTCTTTCTCAACGGTTTCTCTTTAGCCACAAGAAATATCTGAGTATTCTTTTTTTTTTGACGGTGGCTGCAAACAGAATTTGGGGAGCTAGGCTGGGTTTTGAAGTTACATCTCAGATCAACAGTCCTCCCACCTCTGTCCTCCCAATTAGGATCTGCACACGGCCACCCTCGGTCTACTAAACCAACTCTCCTTCTGGTCTTAGAAACATTTTGCCTTTTTTTTTTTTTTTTTTTTTTTTTTTTTTTTTAAAGAGTCACGGGGGCGCCTGGGTGGCTCAGTCGGTTAAGCGGCTGACTTCAGCTCAGGTCATGATCTCACGGTCCATGAGTTCGAGCCCCGCGTCGGGCTCTGTGCTGACAGCTCAGAGCCTGGAGCCTGCTTCGGATTCTGTGTCTCTCTCTGCCCCTCCCCTGTTCATGCTCTGTCTCTCTCTGTCTCAAAAATAAATAAACATTAAAAAAAAAATTAAAAAAAAAGTCACATCTTCCCTGTTGATAGGTAAAATTTATATCATATTGATAATCGCCCAATCTGATCCATTAATGCTGGAACCTGAATGCCAAGATATCTACTAAAGCAAAAGATGCATGTGGAAACCTGTCACTGTTCGTGGCCGGCTCCTCTGTATCACAAGATGAGGGGGGCTCATAAGAATACAAGGAGATTACGGAAGCTGAATGGGGGGAAGGCACATGTCATGGAACCCGTCATGGAGAGAACAGTGAAATGTGGACTAGAGGGAGCACTTTCATATTGAAACCCCATGTAAGACTTAATGTAGTGTACTCCTCGAGCTAGGGGCAAGCCTGCCCTCATGACACTCACAGACATCATGAATATTCAGAATATCCCCTAGACTTCTGCGCATTACACGGTCTCCGTGCCCTCTTGCGTGCAGCCCAGGACAACACGGGCTGTAGCTACTAAAGCTGGGACCTTAAAATACATCCACGCTCACCAATTCAGATCCCACACAAACATTTCTTGATCAGTCTACAAGTAATGAACAGCCAAATGACTCTAATTACTAAATTTACTGTTTAAAATACTGACGTGGAAGGGGTGCCTGGGTGGCTCAGTCGGTTGAGCATCCGACTTCGGCTCAGGTCAGGACCTCACGGTTCGTGAGTTCGAGCCCCGCGTCGGGCTCTGTGCGGACAGCCCGGAGCCTGCTTCGGGTTCTGTGTCTCCCTCTCTCTCTCTGGCCCTCCCCTGTTCACCCTCTGTCTGTCTCTCTCTCTCAAAAATAAAAAAGTTATAAAAAATTATTTTTAAACATGCTGATGTGGATACTACTGGGCCATCCACATAAGCACCAGTCATGTGGGCCCATCTATTGTTGGATGTTCCGTTACCTAACTTGCAAACTTCCATCTAAGAACATGAACACATCTTGCTAGGAATGGAAAGGAAATGTTTAGCAAAGGGTGGAAATTGCACCAGAATGCCAGATTCAGGTCTGGCTTCAGTAAAATGGCATACTTACCACTCTCAAAGATTAAGTGACAGAACATTAAGTGCTCTAGTCTGGATAAAATGGAACTACAATTTCTTACTGGTTTTCCTCTGCACGTAGCTTACAGAAGAGAGTCGTGCGGCCAGAAAACCCAGGTGTCAGGAATGGTGCTGAATTAGCCAACGGAAGGGACCTTCCCAAGCTCTCTTTGGCTCGAATTTACCTCGGGTCTACCATCGTGGACAACCATTTGGGGCCATTAAGTGCAGGGGATCCTTTTTTTTTTTTAAGGTTATTTATTTATTTTGAGAGAGAGACAGACAGATAAGAGCAGGGTCGGGGCAGAGACAGGATCCCAAGTGGGCTCCACCCTGTCAGCGCAGAGCCCAGTGTGGGGCTCGAACTCATGAACCGTGAGATCATGACCTGAGCTGAAGTCGGACACTCAACCGACTGAGCCACCGGGCGCCCAGGAGATTCTTGACATAGTAATGGATATGTCTGGACACGAGCACACATCCCCAAATTTGTGACTCTTACTACAACTATCATTTCCTAACTTTGGGAGACACCACCCAGCTCAGCAAGAGCTGTTCTGCTGATGAAATAAATACATCAAAGCTGCACAAAATGCTGACGGCAGACACGTATTACCTTCGTGCTGCCTTCCACCTTACTGCCCTGCGGCCTCAAATCCCTGCGAAACCACTACAACTCACACTAAATGCTAAGTCACTAAGCTTGTGATAACTAAACATCTTGAAACTTTGAAGGCAACTGAGAAAAGTCAATACTATGAACGTTACAACTTAAAATCTCGAAAGTCAACTGTACTAGCACGGGCTACTCTTAACTGAGGACAAAGGCTCTTCTCTGCTAAGTGAGGAAACACCACGAAATCTCTACAAAACAGAAAAGACACGCTGGCTGAGAAGGTTTGGGGAAAACGATGCCTGAAACCTGATTTGAGCTCGAAACGTCTGTCCTGACGCTAGGGTTTTTAAATACCTTTATTGTGCGGTTTCACAGACTTGGAAAGTCAAAGTTATGGAAGAGCAGGGGATAGGAAATGTAGATATTCTTAGTTTTTTAGAAGGATGATGTGGCAGAAAATTCCAGGAGCTCAGGACTAGTGAGAAGTGAGATTTCCCAACAGGGTGAGGCTGCACCCAGAAGAGCCGGGTGAAGAAGGCCGGCTTCCACCTTCACCCTGTCCCTTGTGTCTTTGGAACAGGGACAGGCAAATGGCCAGCAATTCCCACACGCAAAACACGAAGTTGCATTCTTCAGTAGATGCCTTTACCAAGAAGGCCTTCCTCGTTTTTACCGGACATCATTTTACTGTCCACGGAAACAAAGTGGCTTAAGGACCTCGAGGACAGGGGCGCCTGGGTGCCTCAGCCCATTGAGCGTCTGGCTTTGGCTCAGGTCATGATCTCACAGTTCGTGGGTTTGAGCCCTGCGTCGGGCTCTGTGCTGACAGCTCAGAGCCTGGATTCTGTGTGCCCCTCCCCCGCTACTGCTCTGTCTCTCTTTGTCCCTCGAAAATGAATAAATGTTTAAAAAAAAACTTAAAAAAAAAAAGGACCTCAAGGACAAAAATGTTTGAAAATTAAGTATTCCACATATCTCTGGGGCTCAGTACGGACCAGTGCAGGGCTCCTGACCTTTTTGGATCATAAATTCTTCCTAGAATTTAAAATTTACAAAAAAAACAAACAAAAAAAAAGCATGCCTTCTTTCCCCAGAAAACAAATGCACTGTGCACCTGTATGCGATTTTGTGCACACTTTCTAGGGAGTTATACGTCCAAGGACCCTATTCCTTCATACATGAAATATTTCTCAGATACCTGTTATACGCCAATTACTGTGTCGATGTGAACAAATCTTTATGGACCTGTGGGGGAAAAAATCTCCGAAGAAATAGGATGTAGACGTGGGCTCTAAGACCAACCCAACCGACAGGAAGTCCAACCACCTTCTCAGCCACATTCCTCTTATCTCTGCGTCTCAGGCTCTTCACCTGGTAAATGTCAACACCTGTCCAACCTACTTCATGCAGGTGTGACACAGAGGAGAGATACAAAAACTGCATTCAGAAAGGAATCACCTTGCTGCCCACGCAACTGACCACACATCAAGGCGTCCTCATAAATTCATCCCCGTGAGATAATCACGATTACGATTGAGAACGAAGGTGCGATGAGTCGCTCCATACGGATCTCCCCAGCACGACTACGGCTTGCGCCGCGCCTTTTTCTTTGTAGGTTTCCCTACCCTTTCATATTCTGTTCACCGCTGTGTGACGCGATCAGGTGAGAGAAAACCCATCAGCAAGAGGCGTACCTTTGCTTGAGCTCCCCGGAAGCCCGGAACACCGACTGCAGGTCGCTGACATCCACCTGCACGATGCTGACCTCGGCGAGGGGGTGAGAGGCCAGTAGAGCCTCGCGGACCACTTCCGCTTTGCTCCTGTTCCTGCAGGCCAGACACAGGTGCAGCTCGTGGTCCTCCTCCAGCAGCCGCTTGCAGAGGGCGAGGCCAACACCGCTGGGGGTCAGTTCGGACACGGAACATGCGTTAATTCAGGCGGTGCCACAGAGGCCTTTCCCCCCGGTTCAGAGAGCCGACCTTGTCAACGTGAGCTCCGATGAGGGGCCCGGGCGGGGAGAAAAGACTCAAAAACTATGAAAAGAAAGGAACCCCCTACCCCAACTGAACAGTCAGTCCCTCTCTCAGGATGCTGTCCCGTTTGTTTCTCTCATTCTGCAAACGCTGTCACCCACAAATAACTGCACTGCAAATGAGAGCTGTCTTTCAATGCAGCGATTAACCTGCGGGCAGGGTTCCTTCTGTACTTGTTACGACACTCATGAACGTGATTCAGAGCATCGCCAGCAAGAGCTGAAAAGAGCATCTTATGAGCTGTTTCCCGTGTGCATGTTTGACTTTGCTGTCTAGGTCACTCAAGGGCAAGGGCTCCACGCCCCGTTGGTATGGTGGCCACTATCAGGGGCAAGAGCAGCTCCCGATAAGGACTGGATGGATCTTTCACTACCGCGGCAGGAGGCAGGTTCCTCTCAACTACTACGAGATCGAATAACCACTAGGAGAGAAAAAACTCAACGTGATTAAGTAGAAGGTAGGAAGAGGAAATACAAGATGGGCACCAGGAAAGAGGACGAGTCAAGGACAGATAAACTCCTTAGAAAAGGCATTTGAAACTGCACAGTAGGTGGGAACAGTACTCAGACCAGCCTGGCTGGGGGCGGCCGGAGCCTGGGCTTTGCCAAGAGCATCAGGTGTATTTACACTTGTTCCTGCTCACTTGAGAATAGCAGGTCTTTACGATAATTATCCAATTGCATCCATCACAACGTATGCAAAAGAAGCAAACATACAAAATCAACTCTGGGTCACTTCAAGGACAGCTTGGGAAGCCCCGAATCCGTTGTTCAGGGCACTGAGGAGAGGACACGCTAAACCAGGCCACTCACAGACACCTGCCACGCTGGCTTAGCTAATAGGGATGCGGCTAGGTAGCCCCGAGTGGACGGATTTTAGATGACATTGGACATACCCCCCGCCTTCATCCCTCCCCACTGCAACGGGCAGGAGAGTGTGGGGCTGGGGGGGTGTCGCCTCCACACATTCTTCACATTAGTGCAAAGAGAAAGCAGAGGGGGCGGAGTCCACGCGGGCCACCCTGGAATAACTAGAAACGGGCGGGGGCGGTGACGGTGCTGTGCGCGCCTCCCGGGACTTTGCAGAAGACGGTTAGCTTTCTAACAGTGTGTGCAAGCGTCCAGCTCTGTGCTGGATGGAATGACACACCCCACCCCCACCCCGTCCTCCTGCTCACGGGTGTCGACACATATCCGGGGTGCAGCGTCCTGCACAGACAGGACACCGGGACTACAAGACGGACCAGGTGCAGGAGGCGGGGGTCGGCGTGGAGAGCGCCCCTGTCCCGGACACCAACAGGACCCCCGCGACGCCCCCAGGCTGCTTTTCCGCCGTCACGTTCAATTCCGGCACCGGCTACCGAGCCCCCTGCGCGGCCGGACGCCGGGACGTCGCGCGCCGGGGACCCGGGAACAGCGGGGCAGGTGCTCCCGCGAGGTCCCACCGCGCAAGGCCGGAGACGCGCGCTCCCGGGGGCGGTCGCCAGCGGTTGCCCGCCCCGTACTTCCTGCTCCCTGAGACCCCTGACCCGCCGCTGCCGCCGCCGCGACCGCCGAGGACGCCTCACCTGCTCGCCCCGGTGACCAACACCGCTTTCCGCATGGTCTCCCACCCCGCCGCCCTGCCGCGGAGCCGGCACCCGCCACTGCCTCGCGAGCGGTGGAAACCAGAAGCCCTCCTCGGCCACGCCCACGCCGCTGCTGTCCAATCAGGACCCGACGGTGCTCCCCTCGCGTCATCGGCTCTTCTCCAACCGCTGCCGGCGGTGCGCTCTAGGCGCCCGGCCCCGGGTGGGGTGAGGTAGGCCGAGGGGCGGAGCCGCACCCGAGCCAATCCGGACGCTCGTCGTCCCTCCGTAGCTCAGGTGTCCCGCGGGACCCGCCCGGCTGCTGCTGCACCTGCCCTTTGCTGGGTCGGGCTTTCCCCCTGCAGAGCACTGGGGCGCGGGATGAGTGGCACGCACGGGATCTGTACCCTGGTGCCCCCGCCTGGCCTCTCTTGCAGGAAGGCCTCAGGATGTTTGCACCAGAACTCCTTGTTTTAGAGAAAAGATTTGGGTCTAGGAGTTAAAGTTTGGGTACTGTCATCTACTTCGTTTTCTACTCCTTTTGGGATGTGTAGATCCAGGCACTGTGCCACTTTACAGACAAGCTTCTGGTCCCAGACCTGCTGTTCCTCTAAAAAAAAAAATCCTCTTTGGAAAAATGAACATTGATTTCCTTAAAATTTTTTTATACAATCATGGATGAGTTGCCAGTTTTCAAAATTTGGAACATCTATGAACCTGAGAACCTAAGAACTTCATAGGACATTATCAGTGGTGTACTATAAACTCCTACTTCAGTGCTTCTCAAACTCTGTGATAAACAACCCCTTTTGTTTTTCCCAGCCATCCCAGATGGGTACTCCTGAAAAATACGAGAGCAATGAGTCATGAGAAAAATGAAATAAAAAGCAAAGGATGCAAAATTCAAGCCCGGATTTTTTTATTATTAGATTTAACACATAAAAGAGTCTTCTGCCCAAGTGCTATAAAAGTTTCTAATGCTTAATCCAGGTTTCTATATTTATCGTGCATTGGTAACAAGGTGACCATCACTGGTCCGGGTTCACGCTAAGAAACTCCCCACATCATGTATCTAACTCTAGGGAACTCGCTTTAATCTACTTCATGGCCTCTGTAACAGTTTCAATTATTTATACACAGCAATGATCCCCGAGCAATATGAGACTGATATAATCTATACTGTCTTTTGAAATCATAGAGGTCTTGATTAATTTGATATTGTAACAGCACTCCAACCGGTTGTAAGAGTTAAGTCGCTTCAAGTGTATGTGCCTCTGGCCTTAGGGAGTAAAGAACCAAACTTTCCCAGAAGATAAGACCGGACTACATTCGAAAACGGGTGCCACGGAGGCCAGCACGTCTGTGCAGGGTCATGTTGACACATAACTAACTGCCTGGACGCCTGCTTCTCCTGCACACGGCCCCCCTCCCTTCTCCCATGCCTTCTCCTTTAAAACGCTCCAGCTTCACCTGGATGGGGAGATGGTCTTTGAGAAGTTACTCTACGATCTTCCCAGGTCACCGGCTTCCTTGAATAAAGCATCCTTTGTTTCCCACCATCACTTGTTTCTCGAGTGTTGATTTCGAATGGGGAGCACCTGAACCCGAGTTCAGAACTGGTTCTCTGTCCACTGATAATATCAGCTAGTTTAGAAATCCCTAATCTTATACCAATAAAATTATATTAAAAATAAATCCTATTATTTAAATATTGGATTCCTAAATAATCACAGTTTTTTCAATTTTTTAGGGGGGGGGGAGGAGAGGGGCAGAGAGAGAGAGAGAGAGAAAGTGATAGAATCCCAAGCAGGCTCCATGCTCAGTGCAGAGCCCAACTCGGTCCTTGACCCCATGACCCTATGATCCTGACCTAAGCCAAAATCAAGAGTTGGTTGCTTAACTGACTGAGCTGCCCAGGGCCCCAAAACTTCGTTATTGTTCTCTGGATGGAACTCAGCTCCTACCCTTACCCCATGTTTCAACCATTCTAAAGAAACCACACTTTAACAATATTTTCTGGGAGTCCTAAGACTAAAGTTAACCCCAATCTTTACAGTCTAGACCCAAAGGCTCCTTTTAAAGTGTCCTAGGGCTCAGAAGTGACATGTAAAGGGAATATAACTCCATGTTTGTCCTGTGGCAAACTCATTCCTACGAGGGCAGGGGTGGGGGGGGGGGCGCAGATTCTGGAGAGTCAGCATCACCACAATCTGGGGATGACAAGAGTACAGGACTATGAGTTAAGTGAAGGCAGGAAAAGCAGAGTGAGACGGGCAGTCTCCTACTAGCGTGATGTCCGTCCCATCCAAGGGGGAAACCTTGGTCTCTGCTTCCTTCTTTCATTTGAAGTTGGGGCTTTCAAAGTTCTTTAACATTCACGGGATGGGCTGAACCACTAGAGGGGCCAGAGAGACTAAGAGAACGGAAATCTGTTGACAACACATGTCATTGAATTTTGTATTTTAAAAAATATTTTATCACGTGTAGGACACAGCTCAGTAAAAGTTATAATATATAGTTTACTGATAGGTGAGTTAGTATGACTTTCATCTTCCCAAACGAGTCATCTTGAGTTTGTATTGTTTGTGAGCTGTTTTCCTGGAAACCAGAAGAACCTGGTACACAATGACTGATCCCGTTTACCCCTGGCAAACCTTGGCCCCTTGATCAGAATAGTAAATTGACTATTTACTGCCTTATAAAATAAATTTTGCTCTACCCTGAACCCTGAAACCGATCTTTGGTTTCTTTTATGATACCTGAAACAGTCCTCAGGTAGACAAAGATCAGTAAAGTTACCTTTAGCACCCATGACAGAGCTCTATTCTGGGTCCTCAGAAACCTCTCCAGAACTAACTTGTCTCTGGTTTGCAAACAGGTTCAGAAAAAAACAAAACAAAACAAACAAACAAAACAGCTACCGTGGGGCCATGTAGCATTTCTTGTGGGTGTCTTTTATCTGTCTCCTCTTCCAATCACTGTACATCCAGCCTGGACCAAACCTGCTTTAAGAGTGGGATTTTACCCATTTCCTCAGGTAGCAAGAGGTAATATGTCTTATTATAAGACATATAATCCATAAGGAGTTATTGTTCAGTGTGATTCAAGGACCAGAAGATGAGTGTGTATACTTCTTTTTCAAATACGAAATGAATATAAAATTGTAAGTGGCGACAAATCAGTTTGTAGTGCTCAATACTAAGCAAAATAGAGTCCCCGAAGTTGTTAGTTAAAACGTAAAAGAGCAGGGGCGCCTGCGTGGCTCAGTCGGTCGAGCGTCCGGCTCCGGCTCAGGTCATGATCTCACGGTCCGTGAGTTCGGGCCCCGTGTCGGGCTCTGTGCTGACAGCTCAGAGCCTGGAGCCTGCTTCGGATTCTGTGTCTCCCTCTCTCTGCCCCTCCCCTGTTCATGCTCTGTCTCTCTCCGTCTCAGAAACAAACATTAAAAAAAATTTTTTTTACATAAATGAAACATAAAAGAGCAGACTTAATATGTGTCCTCAGAACAAATTACATACTCAGATACATGCACAGCATATACCTATGCTGTATCACTCACACCCACCTTTAAAGCTTGGCGACAGGTGTTGACCATGGAATTGGACCTCTTTGAACATCTCTGCTCTGTCTGTTACTTTTTTTTCTCCTTTGCCTCCGACCCACTCCCACCACACAGATATTTGCATCCCCGGGCCTTTGGCACTGAAATCAAACTAGATACTTTGGGGGTCAGAGTGTGCGTTCCTGAATTATTATTGTCCTCTGAGAATTTTTATCCATTCTCTATCATGGCCATCGCTGAAAAAACATATAATTCTTCAGAAAATTCAAAGTATAAATTTATTCTTCAGAGACCAAGAAACATGTTGTGGGGGTGGCTGGGGGGGGAGGGGAGGTTCATCTTAATGTGTCGTATGAAGACTCGGTCCGTATTCTGTTCATAGTTTTTGTCGCTTTTTGTATGCGTGGTCTGTCTTGAGCCAGACGATCTTTGGATTTGGGAGGGATTTCTATGTATCAGGCAAGACAACTTTGTAACAACAATAAAGCATCCTCAATTAATTCTGGACTGGACTCTCCGGAGCTGGGCTAATGGGACGACACAAAACTCCAGGTCTCTAGTACATTTGGATGTGCCAGAGACCCAGACGCTTTCCTTCCCGTACACAGTCAAGGAATAGGAGACAGGCTTGCGCAAGAGACCCTCTACCGACCCCGCGCACCCCGCGCACACCCTTGGCTCTGCCCCCTTGCCCCCTCACTACTCCAGAAAGACTGTAAGGAGTGAAGATCGCAAAGCCAGGAGCCGGCGCTATTTGCACAGAAGAAGGATCCGTCAGTAGCGTATTTCTTTAATCATTGTTATTTACAATTTATCATCTGACAGACTTACAGAGAATAAATAAAGAAAATATACAATTGGTATCTTGTTTCCTTTTCTAATACAGAGAACTTTTACCTATTCTGTTTCGGAATGACTAGGATAGTTTTAAGCAGAAATCAATCAGTTTGCTCTTTGCCCCTTGACAAGACACATCATCCTCCAAAGCCCGCAAAATGAGGCTCAGATATTCCCTCCTCGTAGGAAGAGTGAGCCGTGTTGATTCAGAAACTCAACCCTTAGGAAGTTACCAGACAACAGGGTAGAAAAAATAGGATATCATGAGTAGTAAAGGGCATAAAATGAATAGGCTAGATTACAAACTCTTGGTGTGTTTGCAGGAATCCTCCCCAATTTCAACTATTTCCAAGCCTCTTTGCAAGAAAACAGGTTTTCACTCAAAGTAATTGCCTTATCACATTATGCTTTCCCAGTAAGTCTTTGTGCAAAGTCTCCCCTTATATGCAATTGTGAATGTGGGTAAGCACAGGCCTGCTTGGGACTTTGACCTTTCTCCTTTACAAGTTCTTGACCAGGTGTCTGCAGGAGAAACCAAAGAGCTTCAAATGGGCTGGGTTTGGGGCTCTTGCTGGGGTGCATTGCAGAGAACTGCCTTGAACTGCTGTCTAAACACCTCAAGGAATGAGGTATTTCCATAGA